TGGCAAATACTAATAAGAACAGTAGAAGAAGCATGCTTAAGAGGATCTTTCAGGAGAAATTCAAGCAAGGCTCAGTAGAAGAAAAGTAGCAAAACCTTAAGAACACAGTAGAAAGAATGTAGTAGGCAAAACATAGCAGAACATAGTAGAAGAAAATGCGAGAACATAGTATGGAAAACATGGTAGAAAAACATACAAGCATGGAGCATATAAAACATAGTAAAAAAGAACATACAAGAACGGAGTATAAAAACTCAGTAGAAGAGCATATAAGAACAGAACACATACACAAACGTGGTAGATAAAAACACAGGAGCAAAATAGAGGCAAATACACAAAAGAAAGGGGGAAGAGAAACACTTAAACATTTTTTCAGAAAACCCTAGATCGGAAAGAAAGATTTTAAAAATTAATTTTCGAAAGAAAAGTTAGGGAAATCGTTTGAAAACTCAAAGAGAGCACAGATACCCCACAGATCTAAAGAAATCGGAGAAAACCTCAAAGGGTTAGGGTTTCAGAAGAACCCTAGAAATGAGAAAGGCTTTGAGAGGTCATCGATCTGAGTCGGAGAGGTCGGAATCAGACTCAAACAACTATAGTACCCGGAGCAATCCGAGATGACCATAGAACCTTAAATCGATAGAGGTCAGGGTAAAACCTTCGTAGTCAGGCCTCGAATCTTCAGGTATCAAAGCACAGAGGAGCAATAGGAGGTGAGTATAGACTCCCCAGCCTGAGAAGCCATGGATTCCGGTGGTTTCAGGTGGGAGATGGTAGGAGACGATTAGGTTCAGAGAAGTTCGGAGAGTTTGAGGGGGTGAAGGGATCAAAGGGCTGATAGATGAGAGTGATTTAGAGGTGGGGGGTTTGGAAATAAAAAGGAAAAGAAGAGATCGTGGCCGTTGATCATTGATCAACGACTGGATTTGTGTTGGGAAGCCTGGGCGGTTTGATTAATCCGGTCCGAGGCGGGTAGTTTAGGAAGTTTGGGCCCGGTCCTAAGTTTGAAGAGTTTAGAAAAGTTTGGGTTAAGTTTGGGGTGTCGATTTAGGGCTAAAAATTGAAAATAAGTAGGCTTAGATTTTTAAATACGACCACCTTTTTTTACCCTTTTTATTTTTATAAAATAGTAAAATGATTTCTGAAAACAAATTAAAGGTACTAAATTTATTAATAATATATAAATATTAAATTAGAAATACTGGAATAAAATTGGTAATTATAAACGCAATTAATTCTTAACATAGGCTAATATTGCAATTATATGCAATTTAGCTTTAAAAATACTAGATAAGTTTGTAAAAATGTGCAAAAAAAATTACCTTAGCTATATTTTGGGATAAATATGAGAATAAAATAAATTAATCACCAAAAATGATAATTTGAGGAATAATTATGTATTGCTAAAATAGGGCAATAAATTGATTTAAAAATCTTTTAAAAATTAGGAAAAATACTAAAAATATTTGGACACAAAAATATACAGGAAAAAATTGGGTATCAACACCACCCAAATCCCACCAATTTCAGATCTGGGGACATGCAGAATGCTTTCGAGTTTCCAAAGGCAATTTAGACCTGAAACTGGTGTTAGTCGTTTGTTCTCAACAAGAACATCCGATTAACACTTATTTCGGTCTAAATCGGAGGAGGCCGGAATCCCACCTGAGCCAACTGTCGTCCGTCTAATTAGGTATCTCTAATCTTCTTCTTCTCTTTCTATTTCTTCGTTCTTTTCTTCTCCTTTTCCTTTATCTTCTTCTCTCCTTCTTCACTCTGTCTTCTTCTATTTTCCCTTTCTTTGACCAAAAATGAAGAATGTTTAGGTAGCCTTAATCGGTGGACTGTTAGGATTTTTCTCATGCTTAGTCAGTAGGCTTTAGCGTTCCTTAATCTATGTATCTGGACTCAGAATCATTAGTTTGTTCGGTCAAGGTTTGTTAATGTGGTTTAGCTCTGTTTAACCCATTTAACTCGTAAAGCAAGTTTAGTTTATTATTAGTCTTAGTTATTGTTTGGTTTAATTAGTTTAACTTTTAATAGCTTGGTTTAATTACTGCCTAATTAGCCTAGGTTTAGTTTGTATTCAGTCATCTCGTATTATCATCATCAAAATTGTTAGTCTGAAGAACATTTATGGTGTTTCATTATAAATTTGGCTCATTTTAGAGGTTAGGATTATTTTAAGTTTTCAGATGTTCACTTTCAGCTTTCTTATTTACTTTTGATTTGTCTATTTGCTTGTTTGTCTCTGTTTGCCACAGTTTGTAAATTATTTAGAATTTGTAGGGGTTAATTAAACAATAAAGAACAACTTAAGGGGTCATTGGAAGGGTATGAAATAGGAATTTCAGATAAGGCCAATGAAAGAAGGGTCTAGAATAGGGGTAGTTGGCCTCATTTGATTAGCACAAAAATGCTGAAACCAATGAGGGACAGCCAGCTGTCCAAGTTGTTAAAAGATGCCTTGTGGCTGAAGGAAATAATTCCCTTATCCTTTTCAGCACATGGCACTCTTTAAGAGCTATATATAGAACCCTTCTTCATTCATTTTAGACAGATTTTCAGACCCTAAGAAAAACACCCCAAAAACTTCAGCTCTATTATTTTTATTGTTAGCTACTCTTCATTCTGATTTTCACAAAATTAGAACAAAAATTCTGGAAAATTTCTGGTCACCCAAATCGAGATATGGATTGAGCTTGAAGCTGCATACTGCTGTTCCTAGTTGCTAATTTCGTTTCTGTTTGCTGGCTCTTATTGCTCTCAGCTCACTCACCTTATTTTGTATTTCATAACCAGGTATCTCTGAAACTCTAGGTGACTATGAGAATTACAAGCGCGCAGTTAATGAAGCCATGTTCATGTTATTTAAAGATGTGATTGTAATATGAATCTCATGTTCAAATTTCATGTTTCAATTCTTTCCTATATGTTTCCTTTCATTCTTTCCCACTGTTTTGTAATTCTGTACTTAGCTTTATTTTAGAATCTTGGACTTATTATGATAGTTGTGATCTGGCTAGAGGTCTTTATGTTTGTGTATTCAAAAGTAGTTTAGTTTTGTGGTGTTGTTCGAAGGCCAGGATGCTGGATGTTGTTGATATTTCTTTTTGTGTGTCCAATTTCATCCTTTGTTTCAAAGAAATTCAATGGTTTAAATGCCAAATCATGGTTCCGATATTAGCTTAGAATTACGTTTATAATGAAAAGGGTTATGTGACTAGTTTTATATGATTAGTTAGTAGTAGTTTAAGTTAGTATTGTACTAATATTGGTAATTAGCTAAGATCTGTGATATGTAGTCAGTAGTTTTGATTTCCAGGATTTGTGTAGTAGTTGTTAATTGTATTCAGAGGGCCAGCAGGCTTCAGTAACAAATTGGGCCAAAGGTGGGCCTAGATGGGTGGCCTGGTCAGGATCACCTCCGGTGTGATTCTGGACCCTTTTCTCATATGATGGGCTTATTTGCAAGGCCCAAATAGTGTCAGCATTTGTGTTTTTTTTTAAAAGGATTGTGATCAAATAGCCTATTGGGCCTTCTGCAGGCCTAGCTCACCCTAGAATAATCAGAAATTGCCATGCCTACCAAATTCGCTTCAGCAATTTTGTCTATTAAACTTTCTGCTTGGTATAATAAACATGGGCTTCTAGTATTGAAGGCAGTTGTGCAAAAGTGGGCCTGGCATTTGGCCCATTTGAAGTTGTGTGACCGTTTGCCCTTGCCTTCGCTCCTGGGCTCGATTTTGAGCCCAGTTGTCTTATTTCCCCTTTTTTTTTTTTAAAAAAAGAAAGTCTTTAAATAATTTTAGGCTTAATGCTAGCCTAGATTCTTTTTAGATAAATAAAGGTTCAGCAGATCACTTTTAGTTACTTACAAGTCAGTAGCCATACATTAAATTCCAAACTTAGCTTTAAAAGATGAATATTCGTAGTTTGCTTTAGGCACATTCAATATACCATCGTGGTTGTGTACACGCTCGCGTGACATAATTACATCTTAAAAACAAAACCGGAGTATGCGTTCGCGCAACTTCGACTAAACTTTCCTAATAATAACAAAGCGTTATTAATTGTGGACACGTTCGCGTGACATAATTTTTGACGCGCCGAACAAACGGGTACACGTACGCGTGACCTGTTAAAGATAATTTCCTAATAAAAAATGAATGCACATAGGTTCTAAAATAAGTAATTAGACAATTTAATTAAGCCAAGTATGATTAAAGAGACCATGCTAAAACCACGAAACCCGGGAATGCCTAACACCTTCTCCCGGGTTAACAGAATTCCTTACCCGGATTTTTGTGTTTCACGGACTGTAAAACAGAGTCAAACTTCCTCGATTCGGGATTTTAAATCGGTGACTTTGGACACCATAAATTATCCCAAGTGGTGACTCTGAATTTGATAAATAATCCCGTTTCGATTGTCACTTAAATTGAAAAAAAACTCCCTTATACCCTTTCGGGGTAGAAAAAGGTGGTGTGACACCCACCTTGTCGCGAATAACCTCATTTCAGATCCTATCTAACCCGGTATTCTTGTACATTCATCTCAACATCCTCATCTCTGCTACCTTCATATTCTGGAAATGAGCTATCTTGACTGGCCAACACTCATCCCCATACAAACATCGTTGGTCTGACCACCACTCTGTAGAACTTATCCTTAAGTTTTGGTGGCACCTTCTTGTCACACAAAACACCGGAAGCGAGTCTCCATTTCATCCATCCCGCCCTAATATGATGTGTGACATCTTCATCAATCTCCACATCCCTCTGAATAATAGATCCAAGGTACTTAAAACTTCATCTCCTAGGAATGACCTGTGAGTCCAGCCTCACCTCCCCTTCCCCTCCCCGAGTCTCGCCACTGAACTTACATTCCAAGATTCTGTCTTGGTCCTGCTCAAGCTGAAACCTTTAGATTCCAGGGTCTGCCACCATACCTCTAATTGTGCGTTGACACCGTATTGCGTCTGGTCAGTCAATAAAATATCATCTGCAAATAGCATGCACCACGACACCTCTCCTTAGATGTGGCGCGTCAGTACGTCCATCGGCAGAGCAAACAAAAAAGGGCTGAGTGCCGACCCCTGATGCAACCCCATCATGACGGAAATGGTCTAAGTCCCCACCCACTGTACTTACTCGGGTCTTTACTTCATCATACATGTCCTTAATCAACCTAACGTAGGCAACAGACACACCTCTAGCCTCCAAACATCTCCACAAAACCACTCTCGGAACTTTATCATACGCCTTTTCTAAGTCGATTAATACCATATGCAAGTCCTTCTTTCTCTGCCTATACTGCTCAATCAATCTCCTAACGAGGTGAATGACTTCTGTTGTTGAACGCCCCGGCATAAACCCAAACTGGTTCTCAGAAATAGACACAATCCTCCTCACCCTTAGCTCTATCACTCTCTCCTAGACTTTCATAGTATGGCTAAGTAGCTTGATACCCCGATAGTTATTGCAATTTTGGATATCACCCTTGTTCTCGTATACAGGAACCATCGTGCTCCACCTCCACTCTTCGGGCATCTTCTTCGTTCTAAAAATGACATTAAATAACCTAGTGAGCCACTCCAAGCCTGCTTTGCCCGCCCTCTTCTAAAACTCCACCGGAATTTCATCCGGCCCGGTCGCTTTGCCCCTGCTCATCTTAAGCATAACCCCCTCAATTTCATCAACTCTAATCCGCCTACAATACCCAAAGTCACAACGACTCCCGGAGAGTTCCAAATCACCCAGTACAATGCTCATGTCCCCCTCCTCGTTCAAGAGACTGTGGAAGTAGGTCTGCCATCTCTGACGGATAAGCCCCTCATCTAGCAAAAATCTACCTTCTTCGTCCTTGATGCACTTCAATTGGTCCAAGTCACGCGCCTTCCTTTCTCGTGCCTTGGCTAACCTGAACAACCTCTTATCCCCACCTCGGCCCTCGAGTTCCTCATACAAACGACTAAAAGTTGTTGTCTTGGCCGTTGTAACTGCTAGCTTTGCCTCTTTCTTAGCAAACTTATAATGCTCCCTATTCGCCCTATTCTCTTCCTTGTTTACACTTTCCACTAGCTTCAAATATGATGCTTTCTTTGTTTCCACTTTTCCTTGCTCCTCTCCATTCCATCACCGGTCTCCCCCTGCGCCCACCAAAGTAACCCTTTAAGACCCCTAATACCTCTCTCGTGGCTTCCCTAATGCACTGCGTAGTCGTGGTCCACGTAGAGCTTGCGTCCCCACTACTCCTCCAAGCCCCCATAGTCACCAGCTTGACCCCCAACTCCTGCGCTTTAGCTTCCGTCAAGGCTCCCCACTTGATCCTATGTTGGCTATACATTTCCCTCTTCCTCCTCGTCCTCGTGATCTCAAGATCCATGACCAAGAGCCTATGAAGGGTCAAGAGGTTCTCACTCGGGATGACCTTGTAATTCGTGCAAAGACCTATCAGACTTCCTACAGAGTAAATAATCAATCTGAGTCTCGGCCACCGAATTCCAGAAGGTGACCAAGTGCTCCATCTTCTTCGGGGAAACTCGAGTTTGCTATCACCAAATCAAATGCTCTAGCAAAGTCCAGCAAAGACGTTCCTCCTCCATTTCTATCTCCAAGACCAAAGCCACCATGCACATTATCATACCCCCTAGACGCCGCTCCAATGTGGCCGTTGAAATCTCCTCCTATGAAAAGATTCTTGGTGAGCGGGATACCCCGCACCATCTCATTCAAATCCTCCCATAAACGCCTCTTGACTTCCTCATCCAAACCTGCTTGGGGTGCGTACGCACTGATTATGTTCCAAGTAAAACCTCCAACAACTAGATTAATAGTCATCAACCTATCATTCACCCTCCTAACCTCTACCACTAGATCACGGGGTCCTTATCAACCAAGATACCTACCTTGTTCCTACCCCCACCCTCCCAGAATACCAAAGTTTGAAACTGCCCACATCCCGCGTCTTATCTCCTGCCCACCTAGCCTGTACACAAGCTATATTAATCTTCCTTTTCTCGAGAATCTTCGCTAACTCTACAGATTTTCCAATCAAAGTTCCTATGTTCCAAGACCCCACTCTCAGCCTAGTAGCTCCCTTAGCCCTCTTACCCTCTTACCCCCCGCACCCCCTCCCCCGTGCTGGCACCCCCGAGGACAAGACCACCCTACCATCGTTTACCCAAGCCACTATAATCTAGGAGTCACTATGTAAGTACTATCCCAAAAACAAGCAACAAAAATAAAATGAATTACCGAAATATAATCTACCAGTAAAGGTCGCAAAACAGGTGAATAAATAAAATAAGAGAACTAGCGGGAACTATAATCTACAACTAAAGGTTAGATAAACATGTGAAGAAATAAAAAAATAAAAAAGCAACTATAATCTACAACAAAAGGTCACAAAGAAAATGTGAAAAACTAGAATAGAACTACTAGGGATATATGAAATAAAGATACTCCCTCCGTTCACTTTTACTTGGCACTTGACTTTTCACGTTCCTTAAGAAATAATAAATGAAGTGCATAATTTACCATGATAACCATATTAATTGATGCATATTTTATTAGATTTGAGAAAATGGTTTGAAATGAGTAATAAATACTGTAGGTATAACAGGAATTTTGTTTTGTCTTCTCTTGATATGCGTAAAGTGTCAAGTAAAAATGAAAATCTATTTTTAGTATACGTGCCAAGAAAAAGTGAACGGAGGGAGTACAAAATAAAGATGTAAATAGGTAGATTACAATCTAAACAAGTAGTCAAAGCTATCACTGATGTATATAGTTTCACAATACTAGGGCAAATACTAACTAAAGATCCAAGAACAAAATTAGGCAGATAAGGAGATACAATTACGTTAAAATATCAAACTATTAAAATATTAAGACAAGAGAGGAACAATAGAACCTGGATTGCAGCCCTTGAAGTTAACGGTAATCAGGCCGGCGGTGATGGACTGCGATGAGCTGGAGCAATACTCTATGTATTTCTCGTTCAAATAAAGATAAGAAATTCGAATATTTTATATTTTTTTGGAATTTAGACCAATCAAGAAATCGGCGAGAATTGACTGGAATCTGAATTTGGTAAAACAAGGGCGCCAGATGCAGGGAGCGGAGGATAAAGAATTTCGAATCGTAAGCTTACTGCTTTAGATGTTCGTTCACAGTTCTTCAAATAATTAGAAACAATTCTTACTCTAATGGCCAAGAATTATAGTATTTTAAAAGAAAAAATAGGAAAAAAAGTTAAAACTTATACGTTTTTTGGCCGACCAATGAATTGTGTTAAAAGCCCTAAAAGAACGTAATAAATTGTTTTAACCCAGATGTTGTACACTATTTGTTAGAATTTCAGAATCCACCAAAATCAAAAATGGCGAAATCAAACCTATAGAGGGAGGAGGGTGACACCGATTACCAGTCCGATTATTCTGCGTAGATACAGAGATAAAATTCCCTTTCTCGAAGAATTGATGAAATAGCTATTGTTCTTCTTTAGCTTTACAATATCAAATTCAACTGCTTGAATATTCTTGAACTTAGCCTCTTAATAAGACAAGAAGAATAAACTTAAATACATGCTATCCAACCGCTTAAACTAAAATAATCGAACGATGTATAATATAATGTATAATTCATATGCTACTCCTTATGTCCCAATTTATGTGATACTCTTCTCTTTTTAATCAGTCCCAAAAAAAAATGACACTTTTCTATATTTAGTAACAATCTAACGTTAAACTTTCTTTTTTACCCGTAGTGAAATAATTTATAGTCATACTAATTCTATGATTTATTTTAGACCACAAGTTTCAAAAGTCTTCCTTTATTTCTTAAACACATGCCTAGTCAAATACCACCTTCGTATAAATTGGGATGGAGCGAATATGGGTGTAACCATACATAATTAGTATAAAATCTATGTATACCGGTTAAACAAATAAATAATAAATCCGACCGACTATTGCTATAAAGATCCCATATGACAAACACATATTGGTAGGAATGACACTAGGTAACCACTCTAAAGGGTTGCTATTTAGGAATTAGTCAGTGCATCATAAATTTCAGTTTTTCAATTTAATTTTTCAAGACCAAAATATCCTTAGTTGTCCTGAAGTTATGAATTTTAATTTAAAATTTCAGGAAAAAAATAAGTATTGGCTAATCTTTAAATAGCATCTCGAGAATGACTATCTATGCACTTGCCCCTACTAATTGCTAGCAAAAATGGACTACCAGCCGGCCCAACAAGGTTTTTTTGATATGGATCAGGTAATTGGACTTCCTAGTTTGGACCGGTTGATAAGGGATGAAATTTAAAAATAGCCAGATTTACAACTGGTCGTTCAAAAATAGCCCAGTTTCAAAAGTAATTGAAATTTAGCCACTTTTCATGTAAAGATAAAACTGAGCGAAAACACAGTTTAAAACCCCGAAAAATACGCCAGTATATTATGCTGGAGTTCCAGCATAAGTATGCTGGAACTCCAGCATAATATGATAGAGTTCCAGCATAAGTACACTAGAACTCCAGCATAATATAGTGGAGTTCCAGCAAGTATACCGGTCCAGCATAATATACTGGAGTTTGGAGCACCGGTGCTCCAGCAAAGTATACCGGTGCAGCATAATATGCTGTAGTTCATACACAGGTGCACCGAACTCCAGTATATTATGCTGGACCGATCTCTGTTGCAGTAAAATAGTGGCTATTTTTCATTGACTTAGTATACGCTGGCTATTTTTGAATGACTAGTCCGAAAACTGGCTATACCGTGCTCGATAAGTCCACACTTCAAAAACTGGGACGGTTTGATCTGACGACGTTCCCAAAAAAAAATTGGGAACACCTGATTCAATTAGGCAAAGCAAAAATGCAAAGGGTTTTGAAGGCTCGCCAGCTCGTTAGGGTTTTGAGAAACTCGTCGTCTCCGATTCTGCTCAACGAAGTGTCACGAATTCAATCTCATTGTACCTATGAAGCTACTGAATCATGCCTCAATTCTTCTTCACGGCGTGGTTACTTTACCTCTGGTATCTATTCATTTTCGATTTGAGTAAGAGGATGTTTTTTTTTTAATCTGGATTTTACTAGGTCAAAACTTGCGAAAGTTTTGATTTATAGAAATTATGATTGCTATTTGAAGATTTTCTAATTAATTTGATTTTGAACTTCGACAAGGCTATACTGGAATGCTAGTAAAGTTGCTGCGTTTTTTCCAGCTAAATGACAGATTTGATATATCGGTATCCTAAGATAGCTATTCTGAATAAACAGGTACTGCAATTTGTGGAAATTATATGCAAACAAAACACAATATTCAGAGAAATGTTTGTCAATGTGAAAAATGCTCTATGATGCTCAAGGCATCATTTTCTACAGAAGCAGGGACAGTTGAAAGTAGTGTGGCAACAGGTGATAGTTTGTTTTCTCGTATGGTTTTGATCTTTATATTTATTTCTGAATCGTAGTTTTATAGCAGAGTCTGTGAAGGAATTGTATGATAAGATGCTGAAATCTGTCATGGAACAAAGATCTGCTCCGCCAAATGCTTGGTTGTGGTCCCTAATAAAAAGTTGTGCGAACCGTGAAGATGTTAATCTTTTACACGACATTTTGCAAAGACTTCGGATATTTGTTAGTCTCGTTATCTCGTTGAATTAATAGGAGGTCCTTGTTAATTTGCTCGTCTAATGGTAAGTAGCATGTGGTGTATGTTTGAGTGCAGAGACTTTCAAATCTCCGTATCCATGAAAACTTCAATTGTGCCCTCTGCCAGGACATTACAAAGGCTTGTGTACGTGTTGGCGCCATTGACTTGGGTAAGTTTCTGAGTTCTCTTTGCTATTCTTCAGTATTTAACCTTAGTTACTTGTTCCCATCATTTGTAGTGCAAACTTGTTAGTATCAATAAGGAAGCTAGACTTTTAGACTGAAAGCGGAAGTGCATCTCATCACGTTGCTTTGACTCCGTACACTTGTTCATACAAGCTAAGTAAAATTATTTTTTGTAAATTCTAGTTAAAATCTCCATTGTTCTCCTGAGTGAAAAATCTCAAGTAGGAATATACTTGACACATTTGAGGTTTTAAAGAAAATTTTGTGGTTGCAAACTTTTAGAAGGGAAGGATTGACCATCTTAGGATTGGGATTCCTGCTGGGATGACACACAGGATGTGCTTCTGGATTTTCTGATGTGTAACTTAAAGCTTTCTAAAAGACGAATAACTTGACTTGGGTAAATTTCTGAGTTCTCTTTGCTATTCTTCAGTATTTAAGCTTAGTTGCTTGTTTCAATCATTTGTAGTGCAAACTTGTTAGTATCAATAAGGAAGCTAGATTTTTAGACTGAAAGCGGAAGTGCATCTCAT